TGGTGAGTAGGGAATTTGTGGCAGGAGAGAACAGTAGGAGACATGATTATATGTACCTGATTATGGCTGTGTATGTGTGTGTGTGATAGATCAATCCCTGCTCATAGAATCCCACTCCTACTCCTTATCTGAGAGGAGCTTTAACTCTTTTCCTCCTGAGGCTTCCCTCCAACTCAGTCCCATCCCACCTTCCCCCCAGCATCTGTCAGAGCTCTGGGCCCTTGAATCATCTGGCCTCTTCCATCCAAGCTTTAGATGCTGATCCTGTTAATGTAACTGAGATTGGACCATGAGTTTTCAGAATGAGCATTTCAGGGAGTAGAAGGAACATTCCCACTGACCTCAGATGTAGGTCTTCCCATATTTAATGGTTATGCAGCACTTCAGCTAAGTTTTGTTTTCTGAAAGCCACCACTTGTTGTACCCCCTATATGCCAGACAATGTCAGATGCATTACATATAATAACTCTGCAACATAGGTGGTGTTATGCCCATTTTACCAGTGAGGAAATCGAGGCTTAGATCGTGAAATGACATACTCAAGATCACTCAGCTAATAAAGGCAGAGCTGGGATGCAGATTCAGTTTATGTAGCTCAAAGCCTCCAGGCTGCCTCTCTACTGATAATTCAGAGTGACGTTCTAGTCTCAAGCCATAGTATCTCAAGCCACGGCCTTGAGAGCAGCACTCTTTCTCCTGAAGCTGTGCACTTAGCTGCTTCTAATACTGCTGAAGGGACCCCACCTTCTTTTCTGCAGAGGCTAGAGCTCTGATTGATCCTTGACCAGGTCCCCTGTGCCCCATGAATTGCAGCAGCATTACCCAGAGGCTCCAGATACTATTCAGCACGCCTATTGGGAGAAAGGAAGGAATCTTCCAGAATTTCATCTCTATATTCAGAGCAGGTTTGTTCACTTATTAGGCTCTAGCACTCCTAGCCTTTGTCAAGTGTATAAAAAAATACCCATGGAAATTCTGGGCTACAGACTAGCAGTTTCCACAGCACAGGAATCGTTCAGAAATGCACTTTCTCAGGTTCTACTTCAGACTTGCATTTTAACACAAGCTACAGGTGAGTACTATGCACATTAAAGCTTGAGAAGCACTGCTCTCGACCTTGGTATTTAAGGGATCCTCTTCCCACTTTTGATTTTCCTTACTCATATAAACTACTCTCCCCATACAAGCAACACACCAGTTCTTAAGCTGTGTATTAACTCCTCCTCCTTCCTTACCCTTAAAGCATGAGGAATTTTGAGAAAAGATGGGTGGGAGAGAGGCATAGGAACATGGTCATATTCTTAGAGTACAGTGAGTTAGGAACATCCACTTTCTTGATCAAGGTACAGGGCATCCTTTTAGCCCATTTCCCCCAGGATCTCACAGTGCCTTCTGCCACCGTGGCATACCTGTCTGGAGGAATTAGTGGATCTGGGAGCAACCAGACAAACAGCTCCGCTGGGCAGTGAATTCATCATGGTCACAAGGATGCTCAGATGGTCTGTGGCTCATCCCTGCCCCTGGGACTGAATCTGAGGGCCTACAATCTCCCATAGGCCCTTATTGGAGGCAAACCCTCTGCTGTGGGTTCAGGGAGCATCTGAAACCATCAACACCATTCCAGCCATGTTTAGGTTCCAGTTGGGGGAGAGAGGGAGAAGGTCCCACCATGCCCCTACACAAATCTCATGCTGGCTGTGAAATGAGAACAGAGGACATTGTGCCCAGGAACTGGAACCTGGGGAGATTCCCTGGGAGAGCTCTGTGGGCTCTTGAAAGAGGGCATCCTGGAAAAGGGGTGGGGCTGGAGCAGAGCCTTGGGGAAGGAGGGTGATCTTGATCTCCAGGTCTGCAGGGCCTGCTGAGGCCAGCGGCCAGACGGGTTACAACTCCCCAGGTGCCCAATTACTTGCCATCGGTGAGCTCAGCCATCGGCGGGGAGGTTCCTCAGCGCTACGTATGGCGCTTCTGCATTGGCCTGCACTCGGCACCCCGCTTCTTGGTGGCCTTCGCCTACTGTAATCACTACCTCAGCTGTTCCTGCCCGTGCCCTGGCTACCGCCGGCTTTGCCGTCTCAACTTCAGCCTCAACGTCATCGAGAACCTTGCGCTGCTAGTGCTCACCTATGTCTCCTCCTCCGAGGACTTCAGTGGGTGTCCAGACTTGGGAAGAGGCGGAGTGGGGGCGTGGGTAGGGAGGGCCCAGGGAGGGGGACACACCCCACCTTTTCAAGGAGTGGCCTTCCCCTCCCATCAATCTACATAAAGAATTTGGTGCTTCCTGCAATGAATGCCCCCAACTTTCCTCTCTCCCATCAGCCATCCACGAGAATGCTTTCATTGTGTTCATTGCCTCATCTCTCAGCTACATGCTCCTAACCTGTATTCTCTGGCGGCTGACCAAGAAGCACACAGTAAGTCAGGAGGTACGGTCTGCCCCTAGTGGGGGCACCAGTCGGCCCGGGAGTAAAGCAAAGACACCTGTCCTCAGGATGTGGTACCGGTGAGGTGGGAACTGGGGTTCTAACCCTGATGGGTGCTGGTGTTAAGAGTCCGGGTATGGGAACAAGGAGAATATGATTGGTCTGAATTTAGGACTGGGTTAGGGTAATATGGGGAACTGAAGGGCAATATATAGATGTTCCAGTGGGGGTAGAATGCAGAGCTCCACTTAGGCAGCAATGGGTTAGGAACACTGTCAGGGGCTGTGGTTTCTGTAATAATTCTCATGTCCCACCCATATACCTTCCTTTCCTCCACAGTATCTGGCCATATTGGTCTGATGGGTGGTAGCTTTTTAAAATTCCACCCCCAGAATTAGGAGGGCTACAGATTGCTCCTTGGCCTCATCACTCCCCACTCCCATTCCCACGACTGTGAACATGCCCATTATACCTGCTGCCCTTGCTTGCATCCTTTCCCAAGACCACTAACAGGGAACCAAAGGAGGTGAAGCCCAGCCTTTAGGAGCTAGGGACAAGAGGGGAGGCTGCCCATACACACCCAGCAATCTGCAGGATGATAAGGCAACTCATCCCCTAGGAACGAAAGTCCTACAGCTGGAAACAGAGGCTCTTCATCATCAACTTCATCGCCTTCTTCTCGGCCCTGGCTGTCTACTTTCGGCACAACATGTATTGTGAGGCTGGAGGTGAGACCAGGCTGGGATCCATCGGTGGTTATAATGGCTGTGGGGCAGTTGTAATGTTTTCTGTGTTGTACAATATGGCATTGGGTTTGGAGGCTGGTTGCTCTTATGTTCCCTGTGCTGGTCTAGTAGTATAGTGATTTAACAAGCCTGAATTACAGTGGCAAAGAGGGTTACCTTGCTGTTCCTGTGTCCTCACGATAGTATACACCATCTTTGCCATCCTGGAGTACACTGTTGTTCTAACCAACATGGCGTTCCACATGACTGCCTGGTGGGACTTCGGGAACAAGGAGCTGCTCATTACCTCTCAGCCTGAAGAAAAGCGATACTGAACCCATCTGTCTTCTGCTGGGGAGGAGGGCCACTGCCCAGAAACAAGAAGACATTCTTACCTTCCCCACCTGTGTCCTCTTTGGGCCCTATTGAAGCCAGGGTGGGGAAATGGGAGGAAGGACATAGGACAAGGTTTCACCCCAGCCCTGCTGGCTTCTTTCCTCCACCTCCTTAATAAACACAGGGCCTCCACTCAGCATCACGTGACCCTGCCTGAGTCTCAAGCAGCTGGGCTGGCAGGAGAGCTCCATCTTCTGGTGCTAAAAAAGTTCTGAGGTTCATAACCACATCCCCATGTTAGATCCTTACATAGCCACCTCTCATTGAGGTTAGGGACCACAGAGCAGAGGCTGCTATCTGAAATCCACAGCCTTTTCCTCGCCACAGGGTCGTCACGTGACATGCCTTAAGATCTACTGTGCACATCCAGATCAACGCTAGTCCACTGCTAAGGCTGTCCAGGTGTTCTAGTCTTGACACATACATCTTTAGTATGTGCCTTTGGGTATACCCTTGCCTATTTAAGCATCAGTGTGTGCATATGTATAATGGGGAGTGGGTGGGCTATACACTAGCCTGTGGTCTTGATGTCACTTGATGGAGGTTGTGCCCTGTTATCTGAGTGACCTGTTCCAGAAAAGGAACCCAGTACAACATGTATTTCCCTGCCCCTATTAATTTCTGGCTTACAGGCCCTTCTTTCTTTGCAAAGGTATGGGGGTAGAGGTGTCAGAGACAGAGATTCCTACCCCAAAATGGGCTCCCTGTTGTCTCTCCCTGCAACCCCCAACATCTTCTTCACTGCCCCAGGCCCTAAGCTCTTTGGATTGTATATTTTATTTCAAAGTAAAATAAAATATTTTTTTTTTTGCATACAATATGGATTAGGCCTTCTAGTCCTCATGGCTGATCTGTTTGATAGGAACTGAGGTGAGGGACAGGCTCCAGGATGAAGGGAATAGGCCCATGGCAAGGTGACACTGTAGGATAAGTGCAGGACCATAGTTTGAATCACAAGGTCGGTGGTTCAGACTCACCAGCCGCTCCTTGGAAACCCTATACTTTAGTCACTATGAGTTGGAATGACTCGACAGTACTTAACTAAGGTAGGATTGCAAGTGGCACAGCTGGCGTCTCCTGAGGTAGTTTTTAGCTTATATTGTTGAGAATGATGGGGAATCCACAATTCTCAGAAGCATGACTGAGAGCACCAGGACTGTAACCTTGTCTTTAGGACAATGGTTCTCAAACTACCCCTCTGAGCCCTGCATCAGGAAGTCTTACCTCATGCTTTGCATCTCATCCCAGCCCACTACAACATCTGTGGCTGTGTCCCAGAGCAAGACTGGTACCTCCAAGGGAGTCCAGTGCTTTGTTAGGGAAATCGGGGGAACCACAATGAAGCCTATTGTTTCCTGTCCCCTCTTGGAGAAAACAAAAGGCTCCCAGTCTCTGGGGAGCTCATGCCCAGCCCTGCCCAACCCCCACTGCCTAGCACACAGGGAGGAGCCAGGGCCACTGGAGACAGGAGGTTTTATTGATGCTGTGAGGAGTGGAAAAGGCCCCAAGAGCTGAGTCAGTCAGCGGTTGCAAAAGGCCAAGGCACATGAGGGCAGGTTAGGGCACATCTCAACATTCTGTGGCTCTTTCCATAGGGATGTGAGAGAACATCTCAGGGAGGGGGCAATTCCAAGAGCGAAGGCAGATGTTAGGTAGGGATGGCTGAGACCCTAACCTGAGGCACCACAATAGGCAGCAACACCTGTGTGGAAAAGCTGGATGACATGGTCAGTAGGGAAGATGGGGAGAGGGCATGAGGCTGGCCTCTTGGAAAGCGACCCAACCTTGGCCTGGTGAGCTCATGAGAATACCTGATGTACCCAAGTGCGGTGGGGCAGGGCCCAAAGTCCCTTTCCCTGCAGGCTTTCTTAAAGAGGAAAGACATTCAGAGGACATGGGCTTCAGGGAGCACACTGGCAAGGAGAGCCAGAATTAGTCCTTAAGGCACAGCTGGGGCAGACAAGGCACCAAGGCACAACTGGTAGGGGGACGGGGCAGCCTCCAAGCTGAGCGCCAGGGTCACAAGAGGATGCAGGACCGCCCACGCTTGACTGGTGTGGGGTTGAGCACAGCCCGGACAGCCTCAGCAAACACCTCCTTGACGCCATCCTGCTGCAGGGCAGAACACTCGAGGTAGCGCACAGCGTGGATCTGCTTGGCCAGTGCCTGGCCCTGCTGTGGGGTGATGGGTGCCTGGCCCTGCTCCTTGAGGCGTCGTAAGGTATCAGGTTGGGCCCTCAGGTCCTTCTTGGTGCCCACCAAGAGGATGGGCACGTCAGGGCAGTGGTGGCACACCTCTGGATGCCACTTGTGTCGCACATTCTCGTAGGAGGGCGGGCTGGCAATGGAGAAACAGATGACAAAGACGTTGGTCTGAGGGTAGGAGAGTGTGCGGAGGCGGTCATACTCCTCCTGGCCCGCTGTGTCCCACAGGTTCAGGTTCACTGTGCGCCCATCAACTGCACTCTGGGCACTGTAATTATCGAACACCGTGGGGATGTACTCCTTGGGAAAGGCATTAGTTGTGTAGCATATGAGCAGGCACGTCTTGCCCACGGCTCCATCACCCACCACCACACACTTGATGCTCTGCATCCTGGGTGCAGTTGCTGCAGTGGAGGCAATGCCTCCTCCCTCTTCTGGATCCCTCTGGATGCAGTTACCTGTGGACAGATGAGAGAGATACTCTTGGTTAGGAAGGCCTCTCTACCCTTGGCAACAAAGGATGGGGCACATACAAAGAAACCAGTTCCTGCTCCTTTAACCTGACATCATCCTACAACCCCATCAGGATAGACAACACATATTCAATAAAAGGAGCCCTGAAATCAAAGAAAGGTACTTATAGGTGTAGGAACCCTGAAGGCTGGTAATACAATATGGCACAAAGCACATAAGTTCTGGTCCCAGACTGCCTAAGGTGAAGTCCTGGTTCTGTTATTTCTTAGCTGTTGGGCAAATGACTTAACCACCCTATGCCTCAGTTTCCTTATCTTTACATTGGGGATAAAACAATACCTACCTTAATGGGTTGTTGTGCGGATTAAGTTAATATATGTAAAACATTTAGCACGGTGCCTGGCCATATAATAAGCACTCAATAAGGATTAACTAGGCACTCCATGGGAGAAAATTGAGGCTGTCTGCTCCTGTAAAGATTTATAGCTTCAGAATCCCTATATAGAGTCACTATGAGTCAGAATCAACTTGATGAAAGTGGGTTTGGGTTTTGGTGGGCTTAAGTACTAGCTATTTTTATTTTTCTCTGAGCACTAATAAAAACAGTACAGATACAGAGGGGGCTGCTCAAGTGCAGGGATCTACCAGATCTTTGACCAGACAGGGACCCCGCCTACCCAACCCAGGGCAGCTATGGTGGACCATTTTACCCAGGGCACCAATATTTTAAATTTCTCCAAACCAGATGTCTTGGCCACTGAGTACAAACCAAAAGACAATACAAGTCCACTGAATAAGAACCATAATTCTCTATAGACAGTTGCTTATCCTAATTCAGGAATAGGAAAAAGGGATAGCTCACCCCATCATTTTTTTTTTTTTTCCTCCTCAGAAACCCTATACAGGGTTGCCATGGGTCGGAACTGATTCAACAGCACCTAACAACAACAACAGCAGTCTTCTGGGGCAAGGGGAGCAAAGTCCATGTGAGCCAAGATGCTGGGTGGGCCAAGCCAGCTTTTGGAGCCTGGGCAAAGGGGAGCTCCTGTTGGTGTGCCAGCATTACCACCTAAGCCAGCCTATTTTGCTTTTTTGATGCTCCTCATACAGCCAGCCCCACTGTACCCTTGGCCTGAAGGCAGAGGGGTAGAGTTGTGGTTTCCTTGCTGCCCCTGCCCCTTTCGTCCCTTCAGGGCCAAGCAGGTCACTCCATCATTTTTATAAGCATGGAAAATACTATCTGGCTACACACACCCAGGATGGCAACTCAATGCAGGGGACTACTAAAGAATGAACCGGGGTGGAATTTGGACTGGAATCTGGATATATTATAATGAATGAAGCAGAGGTTCCTAGACATCAGCACCCTCTATAGGGTGGGACAGACCCTCCAAACTCAGCCAGGAGCAATGACCCAAACAGTAAGATTAAAACTTGATTTCTCCTTAATCACATCTCTTTTTCCTAAGGCCACAGCCAGTGCTTATGAAGAATTTCAGGGTCTTCCAGATTCTTGGCTAAAGAACACAATGCTATTGAAACATTATCAAAAAGGACTCAGATGTTGAAGTCAGACTCGCCATAGATTCTAATCACAGCACCACCAACTAGTCATGTATGATCTTGGGTATACATATTTGTTGCTTGTGCCTCAATTTTCTAATCTAAAATAGGGATAATCTTGCTTCCTGCATTAGAATTGCTGAGTATAAAATGAGCTAATGTATGAATAGTGTTTAGCAGGAAGCATGGCACATAGGAAGTACCCAATAAACAGGCAACTGTAATGAGTGGACTAAGTATGAGAGAGGAAGTTATGACCCCAGCCAGCCCCCTGATACAGGACACAGGACCTTGGGGTAAGGAACTGATCTGAGTTTTGGGACAGGACAGAGCTTCCGGAAACCCTGTAATTATTTATATTGCTGTGAAAAGGGTCCTCTCTCATTGGCTACTTCCTCTAGGCCATGGGGGACTCTTGTGGGCCAGTATGTGACTTCCTTTCCCTGCCTCTCTCCCACAACCAAGTCCCTTCTTTCTGAGAGGAGATAGCCATTTTGCTGTTGTTAAATGCCAGCGATTCTGCTCCATAGCAACCCCATACAGGGTTTCTGAGGAGCAACTTGTGAGTCTGAACTGCCGACCTTGTGGTTCAAACCAGCTTTGTTCAAGAGTGTTTATCCTATAGGGCCACACCAACCCAGTTTTGTTGTTAAGTGCTGTCAAGTCGCTTCCGACCCATAGTGACCCTGTGTAGGGTTTGCTAGGAGCAGCTGGTGAGCCTGAACCACCAACTCTGCAGTTCAAACGGCTTTGCAGTCTGGCGCATTAACCCACAGCACCACACCAGGTTTTAGCCACACCCAAATCCCCAAGTAACCCTGGTTGCTCCCAACCTTTACCACTGACCCATCTTCTCCATTTTATTTTCTATAAAGCAAGACTGCACCCTGTTCTAGAAACTCCTTAGTCCCACAGTTTGACCTTTAAAGTTCAAAAGCCTTGAGAACCAGAGAGGGGGAACTTCCCCCACTGGGAAGTAGTTGAAGAAACTATGGTGGTATGGGGACTGCACAGGACCCAGGGCTTGGTCCTGCTCTCTCCCAGGCCACAGCTTCCCCTAGGGCCAGCAGGAAGGGAAATAGTTTCTCTAAAAGATTGCCTCTTTGGTTATCATTAAAACTATTTCCATCTTTATTTGCATGAATAAGTGTGGGTTCTACCTCCAGACATTCAAAATTCAAATAGACTTGGGAATCGGGCCTGGAAGGAGATAAGGGCCCTAGTGGAAGAGTCCTGGTGTGGCGCTGTGGGTTAATGTGCTGGACTGCAAAGTCGGTTTGAACCGCAAGGTCGGCTGTTCAAGCTTACCAGCTGCTCCTCAGAAACCCTATATAGGGTTGCTATAGGTCAGAACTGACTCGACAGCATTGAACAACAACAACAGGGCAGTGGAGGGAGTCCCTTGGCTGGGTGGTACAAATAATCAAAGCAGTTGAGACCCACCCAGAAGTGCCTTGGAAAATGTGCCTGGTGACCTGCCTTCAAAAGAAAAAAAAACCTATGGAGCAATTCCACTCTGCCTGGGTCACAAAGGACTTGAGTCCATCAACCAATGACAACAAAGTCATGTGGAGACTCTTGGAATGGAAGACGAGACCTGAGTTCTAGCCCCAGCTCTGCTCTGCTGTTGACTCCCTGAAACCAAGCATGAAGCACTTCCTCTCTCTGGGTTGCAATTTCCCCAACCACGAAATACAAAGGACAAGGGTACCGGGTAGATGAAGTGAGGCAGAGAGAGCCCTGGGAACAGGGGAGGGGCTGGTGCCATTACTGTGTCCACTAGATTTCTGGAGGTCCTGGCATTTTAGAGCAGAATGACTGGGCCTATAAATCTTCCTTTTCACACATTAGGGGAGTGGGTATGGCTGTACGATTTGTACCTCTCCCCCACAAGCACAGCATTGGGCTGGCCAGGCAGAAAGGCACGGAGGGAACGCTGGACAGCAGTCACAAGGCCCAAGAAACTGGAAGTACAGGCCACTCTCAAGGGAGGTGGCTATCAAAGGAGTAGGGGAGGGACAGGGTAGCTTCCGGGCTGGCAGGGAGCAGGGACTGACACCGGAAAAGTATCATGAGTAAAGCAGTGCTAGAAACAAGCAAGGCAGAAACAATGTGGTATATGGGTAAGAGCAACAGATACCTAAATCTGACCTACTGGGTCCACCTGCTGAGCTGCCCCTTGATAAAAAGCCCTCACATGGTACATGTGGTATGCCATGAGGTCCTTCTAGCAACTTATTGGTACTATTCCTATTTTAAGGAGCTTTGGTAGCGTAGTGGTTATGAGTCAGGCCTCAATGTCAGCAGTTCGAAACTACCAGCTGTTCCACAGGAGAAAGATGAGTCTTTCTGCTCCCATCAAGATTTACAGCCTCAGAAACCCTGTACAGGGTTGCTATGAGTCGGAACCAACTCCATGGCACACTACCACCACCACTATTCCTATTTTAGATGTGGAAATAAACTTAGAGCAGTTAAAGTAACCCAAAGTCACGTGGTAAGGGAGCTAGTTAGTAAGGAAGTCAGGATACAAACTCCAGCTTGCTAATCCAAAATCCTATGTTTCCCTCAGAGTATCACACAGCCTCCATAAGTCAATCAGTTCCCCTCCTAAAGCCTTAGTTTTATCTACAATGTACAAGCTTGCCCTCCCAGCCTCACAGAGTACCATAAAATCCAGAAAAGGAATGTGCTTTGTTAAGTGTGAAGTGCTGTTCACATAAGAGATGACAGGAGCAAGGCCTTTCCCCAAGAGGCAGGGAGTATGCAGGCCTCTGAGCAATGACATCAGCTAATCTCCCTATTCAAGGTTCAGTTTAGGGTATTTACTCTCTTTCCTGAGACAAATCTTGTCTCTGAAACCCTGCAGAGTTCCTACTGTCCATTTAAGAAGGCATATGCTAAAAAGTATGGTCTACCATGTACCACCTATAGGATATTCACTGGCCTGAAAGGTCAGTTTGAACCACGATATGAGCAGTTCAAACTCAACAGCTGCTCCTCAGAAACCCTACATAGGATTGCTATGGCTTTTTTATTCTTGGCTTATTTCAGATCATGCCTGGTCCTTCAATTTAGCATGCAAAAGTACCTGGTGGGAATTTGAATCAGGCCTGGATTTAAATCCTCCCTCTGCCACTTATCAATTGTGTGACCATGGGCCTGTGATTTCTCTCTCTAAGCCTCAATTTCCTTCTCTTTGAAATGGAAGCATAATAGTACCTACAACTGATAGAGTTGTTATCATGGTTAAGTGTGTTAATATACAGTGGGTACTTTGCAAATGTGAGTTCCCTGTTCCCTTCTCCAGAGGGTCTTATTTCCTACAAAAAAGCCAGGATCATTCTTGCCCTCTGAACTTTTACTCTTCTCTCTCCTCTTTCAAATTTTCCTGACCTGTAAATACAGACCCAGCTTAAAT